GCTCGGCTGGGCCTTCGGCCTAGTCGGGCGCACAGACTTTTTTTTAAAATAATTCTGTCAAACAGAAAAAAAATCCTAGAAAATAAAATATAAATCTAAAAATTCCAAAACAAATTTTCACCGTCTAAATAAAATATTTAGAACAAGATGAACATTTTCTTGGCCCTAAAATGCAGTTTTGAAAAACGTGCAATTTTTCCTAAATCAAATAAAATAGCCAAAAACTCCGAAATAAAAACTTATTTGATTTTTTCATTAAATCCTCAATATTTCTTTATTTTGGGAAAGTCATTTTATTCCCTCTCTCATATTTGTTTTGTAATAGAAATAATTGAAGATAAAATAAATAAAATCAAATGATCCTATTTTCAAAATTCGAGAAAACTCAAATATGAAAATATCGAAATCCCCAACTCTCTCCGAGGGTCCTTGAGTTGCGTAGAATTTCTAGGATCAGGCCAAAAGCAATAAAACATGATATGCAATGATGATCTAGTGTATAACATTCCCAATTGAAAATTTGGGATGTTACACTCCTGTTAGTATCAATTTGTTGTCATCCAAACACTGCCGCTATGTTGTTGCAGCTATATTTACCTTCCTCATAAAATGTTGAATTTGTTATTTATTCTACATGAGTAAGAACCTGTAGCGTTATTGTAGTTAATTATAGCTTCTGATGTTTTAGAATTTGGTTGTTGTCTCAGTAGCAATTAATTCATTTGCACATTGGATTTGTTGAGAAGATATGCCATAATTAACATGTTTCTTCAGTTTTTCAAAATAAGCATTGGTGATTTTCTATGTTGCTATAAACCCATTTCCCCTACAATTGTTACTGATCTAGTTTAAATATTATAGGATGAACGCAAGTGTTCTTATTTGGAGTGGGTTGATCAAGAGTGGCCACAGTCTTTGAAGATGTGCCTAGCAAAGCTCTAGAGCATGTATGAGGAAGAGAACAGAGGTAGCTTAGAGAAAGTTTTGTCAACGCTGAAGAATATTTGAAGATGCGAGATAAAAAGAGAAAGGTGGAGAATGAGCTCAGATTTTTTAAATCAGACTTTGCTCAGATGGTGTTAGCGAAGGAGGCACTTTCCCAGTTGGCCAGTGCAAAACAGGTTCTTACTGAACTAAAAGTAGAGGTGGATAAGACGAGCCTGAATGATCTCGATTAGGGAAATGAATATATTGTTCTTATGAAGTTGAACTAGCTATATGTTGTACTGTGTTGTTTTCAGGTAGCTATCATACTGTGATGTTAAAATATATTTATGTTCCTGATATGAAATTGGCAAACAGTTGTTCGGTATGAAATGTGAATTTGCATAATACTGGAATTATTAATTGTAAACTAATAAACCTGCTAAATGTGTCATGAAACTTTGCAAACGGTTCTAGCAGTAAAAGCACTGGTGATGGATAGCCTAGTGCCACACAGTTTTCTTCATCCAATCGTGTGTGATGTAGTTGATAAAAGCAAACCGTTAACCAAGGTAGAGCGTGTGTGATAGTTACACCTATCACACACGAGCCTATAAACAAACATGTGTGGGATGTACATACGAATGGAAACGTTTTCTCTGGATTGACTGTGTGGGATGTACATACGAACGGAAACGTTTTTCCTGGATTGACTGTGTGAGATGTACATTCAAACAGAAACGTTTTCCCTGGATTGACTGTGTGGGATGTACATACGAACGGAAATGTTTTCCCTGGATTGACTGTGTGGGATGTACATAAGAACGGAAATGTATTCCTTGGATTGACTGTGTGTGATATACATACGAACGGAAATGTTTTTCTGGGATTCACCGTGTGGGATGTACATATGAACGGAGATGATTGGGTTTCGGTGCCTCGCTCGATCGCACACTAGCTCATTTTGCCCCAGCCTATGTGCCAGGAGGGCCTATCCCGACGGTTTCTGGGTCATGTGCGAAGGACCCCCCCCCCCTATCGCCCACACTCACTTGGCGAAGGTTCCAAATGTCATCGCGGAAAGGGGTTAAAAACTGTTTGTATAGCACCGACGCGTACCAGTGTGCTTTCTTAATGTTAAATACATATTCCTTCGACCATGAGATCATGCAACTCCCGGATATCGGAGGAATACCTTGTGTACTATCAACTGTCACAACATAGTTGGGTGATCATAAAGGTGCTCTAGAGGTATCTCCGAAGGTGTCTATTGAGTTGGCGTGAATCGAGATTGGAATTTGTCACTCCGTATGACGGAGAGGTATCTATGGGCCCTCACGGTAATACGACATCACAAGAAGCTTGCAAGCAAAGTGACTAAGGAGTTAGTTGCAAAATGATGTACTACGGAACGAGTAAAGAGACTTGCCGATAACGAGATTGAACTAGGTATTGAGATACCGACGATCGAATCTCGGGCAAGTAATATACCGACAGACAAAGGGAACTACGTATGTTGTCATAAAGATTTGATCGATAAAGATCTTCATAGAATATGTAGGAACCAATATGGGCACCCAGGTCCCGCTATTGGTTATTGACCGGAGAGGCGTCTCGGTCATGTCTACATCATTCTCGAACCCGTAGGGTCCGCACGTTTAACGTTCGTTGACGATATATTATTATATGAGTTATGTGATTTGGTGACCGAACGTAGTTCGGAGTCTCGGATGAGATAACGGACATGACATGGAGCTCCGAAATGGTCCGGAGGTAACGATGGATATATAGGATGATGGTATTTGGTCTCCGGAAAGGTTTCAGAATGCACCGGGTATTTATCGGATCACCGAAAGAGGTTCCGGGGAGGCCACGGGGAGTTAGTGGGCTTAACGGGCCAAGTATAGGGGAGCACACCAGCCCACAAGGGGCTAGCGCGCCCCACCTCATGGCGCCAGCCCTAGGGAAGGAAGGGAAGAGGGCCATTCCCCTCTTACCTTCTATTCCACGTGAGAAAAAGGAAAGGGGGCGCCTCCCCTCCTGCCTTCTCCCCTGCGCCATAGGAAGGAAAGGGGGCGCACCTAGAGTAGGAGCCCAGGGCGTCCCTAGGGCTGCCTCCCCTCCCCCCGCCCCCACCTATATATATATGTGAGGAGGGAGAGGGGCAACACACACCACGATCCCCAAGCCGTGTGTGGCTCCCCCTCTCCCTCTAGTTCTAGTTTCTCCTCCTTCCACATCTGTAGTGCTTGGCGAAGCCCTGTGGAATAGTTTCACCACCACTGTCACCATACCGTCGTGCTGCCAGAACTCATCTACTACTTCGCTTCTCTTGCTGGATCTAGAAGACGAGGACGTCATCGAGCTGAACGTGTATGCTGAACGCGGAGGTGTCGTATGTTCGGTACTTGATCAGGACGGATCGTGAAGGTGTACGACTACATCAACCGCGTTGATAAACGCTTCCGCTTAGCGATCTACAAGGGTATGTAGATGTTCTCCCCCTCTCATAGGTATGCATCTCCATGGACAGATCTTGCATGTGCGTAGAATTTTTTTTGTTTTCCATGCAACGTTCCCCAACACTAGGGTCCCATTGATATGCGTGTACGCTATCGAGCGGTAGGTACCATGTCGTGTGGTGACGCAATTTGGTAGGATGCAACATACCCCACTGGAGGATACCAACACTGGTGGTTTCGACCTTATAGGTGAGCGACTTAACCTCTATGTTTTCTTATGGTTTGTTGTTAGAAGTCGCAATGATTTCCTAATCTACAAGCTACAAGACAATGACCTTGATCCATCGAAAACACTTTGGCAAGTGACGAAAGTAATTTTGAGTCTAGCATAATCCTTAAGTAACCATAACCTTGATCCATATCCTGGTTTTGTCACTAACTTCAAGCCAACCATAATCTAGTAGTCTTTGTCACTAACTTTGAGCCGACCATAATCTAGTATAGTCTTTGTCACTTGATCCATAACCTTGAAGTAAATATATATTTCACTCTCTTTGTTGTTGCAGAAGTTCATGATGTGTTGCCGAAAGCTAGTAAGCATGCTTGGATGCGCTAGCTCGGTTGATGTGTATGCTCCTAGCCCGTCAATACACACTAGTGGACATATCGTCACTTCCCCGAGCCATGCCGGCGCAGGTTCCGTTAGCCATGCTGCCTTGTTGTCTCGCCATGTTGAGAAGTCCGGGTAAGATGAGGAAGAAGCGGAGGGAAGTGACGATGGTCACTTACTTCCCTTCTAGTATTCAGGCACGTCGACCTTGGTGCTGAGCTTCAGAACTTATGTTGGCTATGTTGAACTATTTGCTACGTTGGATATGCTATTTATTTGTGTGTGATGCATATTGTGATGTGTGATACTATTTATACTCAGTATTAAAATTATAGAATATTAAAATTTTAGAGAAAGAGAACTCTAGAACTATAGGGTAGATTACCGTATCGCCAGGGACCTTGCAAGTAGAGTTACATGCCTTACCACCGAGAATATTTTGTTACGGCGGTACAGTATAATATTCCCTCTGTAAACTAATATAAAAGCATTTAGATTACTAAAGTAGTGATCTAAACGCTCTTATATTTGCTCTTATATTTGTTTACGAGGAAGTACCTAGGTTTCAAGGGTTAACCCTAAGGCCGGCTGACGGACCGTCTCCTCTGCCGTCATCCTTATCGCCAGAGTACCCGAAGGTAGGCAGTTATATACCGTCAAGGATAGGAACTTTAAAGGTCATTATACAAAAAGGAAATTACAAACATTAGTCCGTTTCAAATACTGATCCACGACAATGACGGACACCAATTAAAGGACAATCAAGTGACAGCGCTACCGAAGGCAGCATATATAACAGACTACAAATGACAGCAGTTCATATATAACGAGTCTTCAACGCAAATTGTTCATCACACGGTGCTTTGAAATACAGACTCAACTGACTCAAACTCCAAAAAACGATCCACGACGATGAAGGACACTTCAAACAAACTTAAAAAGACACTTAAGCAAGTAGCGGTGGTAAAAAGTAAGTGCGGAATGGGAGCAAGCAGTACAGGGTCTCACTCCTCGTCAGACTCAGCGCTCTGGAGCCACTCCACGACGGGCTTGGCATTCTTCACGACCTGGGAGTCCTTGCCGGCAGCAACAGCCTCATTGTACCACTGCACAATAGTCTCTTCCTCGAGGACGTCTCCGTCGTAGAGGGCCTTCAGGACGACAGGCAGCTCCTTCAGGGCCTCGGCGCTGCACTTGCCACAGAACGCCTCGATAGACTGGAGCAGGAGCATCTGGGCGGCTTCATCAGGCACAGCAGCAGCAAGGTACTTCCTGTTCTTCACCACATCCTTCGCAAACCCCTTGGCAGCACCATGGAAGAGCGCCTCGAAGAGGGCATCCATCACATCCTTCAGGGGCAGGGGCGAGGAGGACAGCAACCCCTTGAGCTGAGCTGCGGTGGCAGCATTGGCTAGGCTGGCCTTGATCTCTTCAACCAGTGCATCATAGGGAGTGGTGGTTTTGGCCCCATTCTGGTTACCGTTGGAGGTCTCTTCAGCCTTTGCTGTGCCATTGGCACCGCCATCATCCTTGTGCTGGGCCTGTTTCTTCTTCTTCTCAGTCTCTTCAGTGGCAAGCATAACCATTTCAGCAGTTGCTGCACTCAGCTGTTCCTCCATGCGCTTTCTCGCAGCCTCTGCTGACGTGTCAGTCGCCCACTGTACATCATCGTCGTCGTCATCATCACCGTCTGCAGCAGCTGCAAAGTCAGCATCTCTTGGTGATGAGACATGTTCCTCATCAGAGCCCCCAGCACCCTTCTTCTTTGTGGCAACACCTTTTGCAGTACTCTCCTTGGATGAAGCACCTTTCTTCTTCCCATCCTTCTTGAGTTTCTTCATCTCCTCATCAGCAGCTTCACCTTCTTTCAGACGCTCCTTCTCAGCCCTCCGCATAGCTTTCTTGTCCTTGCCACCTTTCTTTGCCTCTGGTGGGTTCTTCAGGATGAATGTAGTGAGCTTGTCCCTCATGTCAACATCCGAGAGGAAGCCACAGGCAGCACATTTCAAAGTTATCATCTCTTTCTTGGAGATGAGGACCTCCGTCTCAGGGTTGCCACAGCCATAACACTGGACATACTTCTTGATGAAGTTCTCAAGCAGACCAGCCAGCTTCGAAGTGTCATGGGCTCCATTGACCAAGGAGATTCCCGTCTTCTCATCAAACTTTGATTGTGCCCCAAGCTCACATCCAAAGTACTTGGTTGTGTAGGAAGCAGGCCTGGCAAGTGCTTTTGCTATATCAACCATGTTCACAATATTGGTCTTGATGCCATTACCACGGCCTTCAATTTTGGTCAACATTCTGGGCATCTTGTACCTGTAGAAGGCATCATCCTTGTTTGAAGCACCAATGTTTTGCAGCGCCATCTTGAGAAAATCTTTCTGCAGCAGATGCTATCAGATGTGGCAAAATTCAGAAGAAATAGTAGCTGCAGGACTCTGAGCACAGGCAGTGGCAAGTGAACTCTCAGAACCAGAGAACCTAATGGGCTCTTGATGCATGCAGGGGAGCACAAACTTATGCCTTTTTCTCGTTGCACGAGAGTACTCTCCCAGCAATCCAACTGATCCCAAATAGACCGATGCTTGTTCAGACATAAAAGAAGGTTCAGCGTACCCCTCCACTTTGTCAGATTGCAGCAAAACAGATGCTGCTACCTGGTTTAAAACAAGTGAAAGATGAAACATCAGTGATTATTCATGTAATGTGAGATTACAAGAAACTAACTGAAATAAAGGTATAATATCATTGACAAGAAAGGACTACATTATTAATTCATGACACAGGTTGCTGGCTGAGCTAAGCATCAGCAGCTAAATAGACATTGCAAGTGAATTAGGCATCACTGCAGAAAGGAGGCTACACTTTTTGCACAACCAAATCAGCAGCAAAATTAACATTTATAGTCAGCACATGATGAACTTCAAGACAATAGGACTAAACTTTCCAAATTAATACAACTACTCCAATATCATAAGGGGCATGTATCAGAAGTAAATCTATCCAGGAGCAACAAATTTTACTAGCAAAAGCAAAGATGCACCTAGATAAAATATCAAAAAATTACAGCAGAATAACTGCTAAATGAAGTACTATCTCCAGACATGCAGATATATAATTACTAAGCACGCACAGTTTCAACCAACAACTCGCATGCCTCCATGAACAAAGATAAAACTGAATTTGTAAAACCCAACAAAAACAACTACCTCAATCCATTCAACTATAATAATGGAAACAAAAATTAAGGACAGGATATATAGACTACATAACAGACAAGAAAAGGATAACAGACTCTGCCTATGATATTGACCTGATATGTAAGCTAACCAACAAAATATGTAACACTGATAACAGCAATCCATATGTTTAGCCACAGGTCAAGTACAATAATAACACAGGGACAGGGTATTCCATCAAAACTGGCCTCGATCAAATACTAGAAACTGACAGTACCAAACGAGATCGAACAAGGGAACATCACGTAACTAAAACAAGGAGGTCTAATTCAACTAGCACAGTATTGCAACGTTTGCTTGAGCTAAAACTACAGCACTACCGGATCCCAATCGAGATGCAAACCCTAACGTCGAGTAGCCGCCGCGGGCAAGGAATTCGTCCAAAGCAAACCCTAGCCGACGCCGAGCCAACGACGACCTGCGACAGCAGATCACCAGACCGCCATGCCTACCAATCGCAACACACATCCAGATCGGATCCTCCCACCCAGACCAAACCAACCCCCAAATACATCGCAAATCTAGCAGATACCTAGGCAAGGGAGCACGCGAGAAACGAAGAGCGGGACGGGAGGAGACGGTGAGCGTTCTCACCTCGTCGGCGGGCGGGGGGACGAAACCGCAATCGAACCGAAATCGATCGGAGGCTGCGGGCGGTGGCGGCGAGGCGACGGAGTGGTTGGGAGGGGGAGGAGAGGCGGGCGGCTTTTATAGGCGGGGCGAGAGAAGTAAAGGAGGCTCCGCTAGGGCTGCCGTCCCCAGCTCGCCTTCTCCTACCGCCTCTCTTTTTCGGATTTTTTATTTTTCTTCGTCGTGTCATGGTCTGGCTTTTCGTCCGGTGCTACCACCCCAACGGCTTTCCGCGTATACGCCGAAAAAAATATAAACGGAGGAGAGCTCAGCACGGAACAAGAGGTTCAAAATTCTTGTATTCGCAATCGCAAGCGAAAACAAACAAAATATCTAGTCCACACGTTGTTTTGACGAAAAATCTTGGGCACACAACCGATGGGAAGCAGGTGCTATGTTTTCGGATACGTGCATTTTCTTTCTTGCCGAGAAAGAAAGAAGGCGATCTCCTTTGTCAAGGGAGACTAGTCTTTCACCATCGTCCTTCCGCAGCCCACCTTCACCGATGACATGATGATGGGAGAGGTAGGATTTTTGGGTGTGGTCGTGTAGTTTTATTAGGTTTTAGGTCCCTACTAGCTTAGTTTTTAACTGCTTGACATCTTCGCTCTAGCAAGGGTGACGATGAAGACAGATCATAAAGCTTTAGCTTCTTTTGTCGACACGGCGTTCTGCTTTTGGTGGGCGATTAATGGATGCCAGCATGTTTCAAGCATGAATGGTGTGGGCGACAGCGACAACGACATAACTATGCTGGACTTGTGTCCTTGGGCTCCGTCGTTCTCAAGGTGTTCGCTCTAGCGTTGGCAGCATTCCTATGGTGGACTTGTGTCCTTAGGCTCCGTCACCGCGATCGCACATGCTCTAACATCGATGCAGAGCACGAAAGGTTTGTTCAAGATTGGGTGTAGGTGGTTTTCTCAATCGATGACAGCTGAAAGACGGTGGATTCGTCGTTGATGGTTAGTGAGTCAGGTTTTCTCCTTCAACATCGTTGTGAGGAATTGCCAGATTTGAAGTTCGGTGGCGTGTCTGCAGTGCTGCCCTGCCCAGATTCTTTCAATGATAATGGCTTTGCCTTTGACGAGTTACTTTTGAGGTCTGAAAAGATGTAAAATAGCGATGGAGTTGCGTCGAGCTCGGCGAAGAGGTGGTATGTCCCTTTTTCCTTCTATGTTCGTTATGGTGCTGTCAGAGGCGCATGATGGAAGTTGGCATCAAGCTCAGGAGATTATTCGGTCTTAATTGTAATAGCCTTACTTCGATGAGGTCGTTTGGGCTGAAGCTCGGATTTTGTTGTCTTTCCTGTTTTTTATCAAGTCGGTGTCTACGTGGTTTGTACTTTATTTTCGTTATATAAATGTGACTCGTACTATCATAAAAAAAGGTGACATGTGTTCGGATATGTCAATATTACAATTACACAGTGAATACTCGCACACCTTGCTTACTCCCCAAAAAATGAGTTTGTTCAGTTTTATCACTACATTTATCCTAATAGTAAGAGTTTCTGAAAGATTGTTTCATTTCAATATTTACTTATGTTGGTCATAAGATGGCAAATGAAGTTATTTACTTTTCTAAATTTCATGTTTTCTATTCACCTGGTAACATCAATGAGGCATAGTCGCTTCCCCGCAAAAAAAAAAAGTAAACAATACATTAGCTCAAAATCAACTGGAAAATGATGGACATTGTCCACACGCAGAGAGCAACCGAAAACTTGTACTCCCTCCATTTTATAATGTAGTGCGTGTAGATTTTTTTACAGGTCAAACTTTGCAAACTTTGACCATATTAAGAGAGAAAAATATTTACATCTAAAATACCAAACACATATCACTGGATACATTGCGAGTTATATTTTCATATCGTATATGCTTGGTATTGTAGATATAGATAGTTTTCTCCATAAACTTGGTCAAAGTTTGCTAAGTTTGACTTTCCAAAAAATGTATATGCACTATATTATGGAATGGATGGAGTAAGTAAAAGTTTGGCATCAAAATTGTCATTGCGTCACATTCATTGTGAAAATCAAATGTTAATAGAGAAACTTCACGATAAAGGCAAATAATTGGTTTGGTATGTATTTATTGGATTCTAGGCTAGACTCAAATCATGATAGCCAACAATGCGGTAGTGGCACGGGAGCGGCTGAGAAAGATTACCAATATCAAAGTGAAAATGCGGTTTACTAGTGCCGTGCTACAAGCGTAGGGTCCAGTTTACGATCCAAAAAAAAAAAAACGTGGAGCCCTGCCTAGAACACAACCAATTCAAAGAAAAGCTGTTACGGCGGAAAGAGGAAGAAAATGATTGAGTACACGGTGACATCCTTTTTCTTCTTTATACGGAGTATTTGCCTGCAAAGATCCTTTTCTTACGGAGGGGGGCTGGCTGTTTCAGTCTAGAGGCAAATACTTGACCACACAGTGTCGTTTGGCTATTTGCGCCGAGAATGTAAATATGAGACGCTGTATAGGTAGCATCACCTTTTCGTCGGAGGAAACGACCACATTAACAAAGAGGCAGCACAAACCACAAGCACATGCCTACAAACAAACATAGAAGTTCTCCATACTCCAACTGTGAACACGGGAGGTCGGATGGATCATACTGATTTGCCAGCTTCTGATTCATAGCATTCCAACAAGCACGGGCAATAAATCACATTAAAATACTTGCTATTTTGAGGAGCGGGGGTGTTGCAGAACATGACGAGGCATCATACGTCCGCCAGGACTTGACAAAATCCCATTCCCTGCCTGTCGTTGCCATTGCAACGGCAACAGCGAGTAATTTGCTGGAGCACATTCGCTATGTGGGTCATCGGCGGATTAGAGTGGGTAAATGGAGACGCCCTACACGCTTCTGTAGTCAATGGCAGTGACTTCTTCCTCGGGAGCATCAAGATCATTGTACCTGCAAGCAGGATCGATAATAGGTTATGCGATGCTCATGGAACGGACAAGTGCAGCGTGGAAATAGATTCAATATTATTTTTACAGAAGAGATTGCTTCCACAAGAGTGAGAAATACAACAGGGTGATGATGATTCATCGTTCTCAACAAAAATGCATGAGGCCAAACTAGTACAGAGTAGCAATTCTGCTAAATGAAGAATCGTTGGTGGTTAAGTATGAAAACATACAAAGGCTGAAGATAAAATTCAGCATAGCAACAAAAGAGCCGTTACATGTAACACAAAGCACCTCAATAAAGATTTTGGAATCTTGCTTATCTAATCCTTGAGAAAGTACAGAAAACTAGAGGAGTATCACTGACCTTCGCAAAGGACGAGGATCAAGCGGAAAATGCGGATACATGGGCATCATTGGTTCAGGCATCAAAGGTTTCTTCTTATGCTGAGCACCATTCGGTCTTGGAGGTCTTTGCTCTCGCATCATTTGAACGGCCATATCTGGTGGTATAGGAACAAATGGTCCCAATGGGCTAAAACAAGGGCAGCCAATGTTAGCACTCTGCCTGCACCT